GAAATAAGAGAGCCGTGCATATCCATAAATATCCACCAGAAGGGCTCAGACCAGGAAGCAGTGCAATGGTAGCTATGTATTTGCTAGAAGAGTCACTTCCCCCTCTCTGTCTCAGTTTTCTCATCTTATAAAATGACAATATTATTTCTAAGGTTTCCTCATTTCTAAAATAGTCCGTCACTCCCCTCTCCTAGGCCTCCATTTCCTCATCCATAAAATGAAAATAATAATCACTCTACATGCCTCTCAGGACTATTAAAATTAAAACATTTGATAAACTGGTCACAATTATAGAAATTGGAATTATGATTATTAATATTTTTATTATTATCAATTGGGGTCACAAACTACATGCAAGTCCTAATCTATTCTACTTGACCTGAGAGCACAGAAATTAACAATAATTGTAATAATAACATTTATATAGCTCTTTAAGATTTGCAAAGCACATCATATTATCTCATTTTATCATCTCATCAACCCTGGGAGGTAGGTGTCACTATTGTCTCCTGAGGAAACTGAGGCAGCCAGCAGTTTAGTGACTTGCCTAGCATCCATACAGCCAGTAAGTGTCTAAGAGAGGATTTGAACTCAGGTCTTCCTGATTCCAAGCCCAACACTACTCACTGTGCCACCTCATTGCCTCAAAAGGAGCAAAAGGTGGAAGTAGGACAGAGAGGGAGAGAGACAGAGAGAGAGAAAGACTGACAAAGACAGAGACAGAAGAGACAAATAGAGAGGCGAGAGAGGTAGAGAGGGAGAGAGAGAGAGAGAGAGAGAGAGAGAGAGAGAGAGAGAGAGAGAGAGAGAGAGAGAGAAAGAGAGAGAGAGAGACTGGGTCTACATAAGGAAGGAGGCCCTAGCCATTAGAGCTGTCAAAAAGTGGAAGGAGCTGCCACAGAAGGCTCCCAGTCACTGGGGATAATCAAGTGAACAGACTGGATGACCCACTATTAAAGATGCTCTCAAGGGAACACCTGTTCAGCTATAGGTTAGACGAGGTAGCCTTTGAGGCCCCTTCCAAGATCCTGTGATCCCAGTATAATCCTATCAGAGCATATAACTCTGTGACACCCCATGTAGCTTTGGATTTGGAGTTCAAATCCCAGCTAGGCTACTCTTAGCACCTTTGCAACCTTGGGCAAGTTACATGTTCAGGCTTCATTTTCTTCCTCTGCAAATTAAGGGGGTTGGACTAAATTATCTATAAGGTCCCTTCTAGGTCTAAATCCTTTGATCCCATGAAAATGGCTATACGTGAGAATACATTCCCTCCCTTTTCCCCCTTCCCAAACGCCTTTCCTTTTTCATGTAGAACTATTATAATGCAAACATATCTGTGCTATATGGATTGTAGAGCTTCTCTAGGGCTCAAAAGAAGCTGGGAACCCTCCACCTCTCACACTGGGTATTTGGGGGTTTTATTCATTTGAAGGGAGATTGGCAAGTCGTTAACACACCAAACTCTTTCCCCTTCTTTCCATTTTCAGCTTTCTCTGGTGAGGCAGCCTAGGATCGGAGGAACTGGGTCTGAATTCTACTTCTGTCCCTAGTATGATCACAGGCAAATCATTTAGCCTCTTTAGGTCTCATTTTCCTTTTCTGTAAAATAAAGAGGTTTAATTGATTGTTCTATATGGCCCCATCCAGCCCCAAGCCCCATGCTACCCAAATCTCCTTAATTCAAATTTAGAGCTAGAAGAGACCTTAGTACACATAGAGTCCAACTCCTTCATTTTACAGAAGAGGAGAGAGTCAATGACATGACACAGGTAACAGGTGGCAGTGCTTGAATTTGATCCTGTGACCCTTTCTACTGTATCATGATTTTTTACATGCAATACCTAAGTGGAAGGGGAACTGGAGGTCAAATCATGTAAGCCTCCTTAAGTCTTAGTTCCTTCAGGAAACCTTCCTCCACAGAGATGAAGGAGAAGAGAGTTGTCTTTCCTCCCCACTACCCTGTTCCTCTTGCCCTTGATCTAGGAGGCCTGTGGCTCATATTCACCTGCTCCCTGACATTTCTTGCATCATTTCTCAATAGGTGGTGTAAAGTTGCTTATGGGTTTCCATGGTTTTCCCTCCTCTGTCTCATAACAGCATCCTGTGGCTCACTTCTTCCCAGGGAGGGGGGCAAGGAACTGGAGTCAACCCATGCTATAGATAGCTAAGCCTTTTCTACTATTTTTCCAGTTCATGATAATCGTAGATGGAGATAAAGATGCCATCTAGTCCAATCTCAACATTTGACCAATGAGGCCACTGAAGCCTAGAGACAGTCAATGACTTGCCCACAGTCACAGAGCTGATATTTCAATTCAGCACTCCTTCCATTGCATAATGATGTAAATTCCATTTGAATTGATTTGGAGGAAATTAAGATCAAGTTAGTGAACATACAGGGCCTTCTGGTTGAGATTCAGTCTCTTCATGTATAAAACCAAGAGACTAGGCCTATCTATGGACATTCCTGTTATTTTCCTACAAGGCAAATTTTTAGTCTCAGTTGCCTGAAAAAGAGCAGGCAATGGAGTCCGATTCCCTTGTTTGAGAAGCTTCATTGGCTTCAAATTGCTTCTAGGTTGGGATACAAACTTCTCTGCCATTTAAATTCCTTTCTAATCTGGTTCTAACCTATCTTTCCCTCATATGTACGCTATATTACCTTTGCATATATTTGCTTGCATGTTGCTCCCACCGTTAGATCATAAGCTTCTTGAAGGCAGGTACTGTCTTTTGTTTCATTTTATTTACCTAGCACTTAGTACAGTGCCTGGCACATATGAGGTCATTAATAAATGTTTATTGACTATTTCATTCAAACAGGCCTACTGGCATTCTATCCCCTTCTTCCCTACTCTGTAGGAAAGGCAGAGAAATGCCAGGGATACAAATGGGCAATCTGAATTCTGACCATTCACAAACCAGAAAAGACCACTAGGTCACAAGTCTGAAGTCCTGAGTTCTTTTTCCAGCTCCATCACTAACTAGCTGAAAGACTTTAACAGATCATTTTATCCTCTGTTCCTCAATTTCCCCATCCATGCAATTGAAAGAATAACACCATCTGATCACACAGATAAAAAGATGTCATTGCTACAAATCAGGATTGGGACTTTCCCATTTGACAGATGCACCTCCAGTGGGACACATGGGCACTATGAACCAGTCCTAGAAATCAAGGGACAATGTGTTGTTTGGTCATTGAGTGGTGTCTGACTCTTCATGGCCTCTCAGACCACACTGTTCATGGTGCTGTCTTGGCAAAGATACTGCAGTGGTTTGCCAAGTTAAAGTGACTTGTCCAGGGTCACACAGCTAGTATCTGAGGCCAGATCTGAACTCAGGTCTATTCCTGACTCCAGGCCCAGTGCTCTATCCACTGAGCCATCCGGCTAGCCCCAAGGGTCAATAGGTACCTTTGTCCTCCCCGAAGGGCTTCCCATATGCCAGAGAACTGTCACTAGATGGGAGTGAAGAGGTAAAACTCAAGAGTTGAGATTTATTCACTGTTTGTATCCCCTGGCTGACAGTGTCTAGATATTAGTAGGTGATTCATAGATGCTTGTTGCTTAACTGATTAAGCCTTTCAAAATTCATAGAAAGCAGGAAACCAAGGAATCCAGAGGATGGATTTAACTGGATGTTTTTAGAAAAGTTTGTGGGGGAGAGACCCAAAAACCCCACCACAACCAAGGAAGGAGCAAGACTTTCCCAACTAGCAAAACTTTAATTAAGGAGAATTCCTCTCAGCACATTTTTTTTTGCCATTAAATAAATAAAGCATTTAGTCAAAACCATCTCTAATTACTATACAAAATACTGAAAAGCAAACATCAGGAAACATAGGTTGGGAGAGGGGGCATAGAGGGAGAAGGAATGGCGTGGATAGAAAGTTCCAAGTAAAGCCCCCTGCCACAGGAGCTAAACCCTGCCCATGTCTGCAAGTGGGGCTGTGACAGTATTAATATTCATGGGACCTTTCACATGATTGCCCCATGACAGAGCTTGTCTTTTGGATCTGGGGATGGAGGTGGGGGCTGGTGGGAGGTTGAGGAGGTGGGGGGGGGAGAGGCGAGGCAGGAAAATGAATTTCAAAGATTCGATCAAGCGAGAAAGCATATTCCAGGAGTCCACTTTCATTAGTGGGAACGCTGACAGGGGAGTTGGGAGTCAGCGATGAGATGCAAGCGCGGGCGTGATTGCTGCTGTTAGCGTCTCTGACAAGCTGCTCTTCGGGGGGACTTCAAGCAGCGCCTCTGCCTTTCCCCGCCCCGACTCCCCTCCCCGAAACACATTCAAGGGATGTTCTTGGCATTTTTAAAATTCCCCAATCCCTTTGGCCCTGTAATGATTTATGATTTAAAAAGGATATTTGAAAAGAAAGAAACAAGGAAGAAAGTAACAGCGGCAGCTCCTGTCTGCTCCCCTTTGCCAAAAACCCTAATTGGCAATCCTCTGTAGCAGGGGGAGCTTCCCTCCGCCTCTCTGAGAACAATGGCGTGACGCCGCTGACAGCTGGAATGTACATTCTGGTGTTTGCATGCTTCACAACACGAGTCACTTGAACACACCAGACTTCATTAACACGAGAATATAAATAAGCTTATTCCTTCTGCTCAACATGGAAATGCCTTTTCTCTTTCCATTCCATAATTACATATGTGTGTGTACATATATAATAGGCATATTATGTGTGCATGTGTGCATGTATACACACAACCACACACACAGTGAAAAGACACAATATAAAGAGGGGGTCTGAGGTTCTTCCTAGAACAATTCTGGAGGCAACAAACGGAACCACCATGTACAGATAATTCTGCCTTCTGTATAATTATATGAGTTGGGCTATGTGTGTGTGGTGGGTGGTGAGGGGGGATAGTCATTTGGAAACTGGAAAATCCATCTAAGCATAGACAAAGATGAGAAATCCCTAAATAAAACAGAATTGAGAACTGACAAGTTTGTAGATTGTTTTTTTCTCCTCTTTTTTTTTCTTTTAAAGAAACTCCAATTACAGAGGGACAATGAAGATGCTGACAGACATGCAGATTCAGGACTAGGGACAAGGAAGGCTGTATGATGGTACAATTTTGGAGTTCTCCCTGGTTAGTGCCCAAAGCTACCATTCTGATCCAAATGAGCAGATGAGGAAAAGGTTCAGGTGCCTCCTCTAAGATGGGGGGGGGGAAAGGAGGGGATGGAAAGAGGAAGTGTTCACTGACAAGTCTCTGAAAATGTTCCTTTGGAAAACCATTCCTGTTCTCCAGGAGCCCAGGAGAGTCACACATCCATATTCCATTCTCATAGCTGTACGATGCTGGGAACCCACTACAAAAAAAAAAAAGCATGCCAAAACTGACCCCAGCATCCTCTAAAATATTCCACAGACCCCTCCCCCACTCCATGACAACCTGAAGCCTAAAGGACTCTCACTGGAGAGAATAGGAAAAGGTAGGAGGTGAAACTCACAAATACACACACACACGAAAGGTTCAGTGTGTCCCTTTTCTCTTTCTTTCTGCCCAGGTCCCAGCCCTTACTAAGCAGCCAGACTGCAATCCTTCCTCTGGATTGGCCACCCAGGACCAACATTCAACTCTGCCCAATGCTACCAATGCTCTCTGACCCTATTTCCCTAGCATATCTCTCCTTCAGATCTGCTTGATCCCAACCCTCTTAAAGAGAGAAACCAGGAGAGGAGAAAAGCATGGTATGCTTGGAAGGAGGAGGAACCTCCTCATTTGCTTTAAAGAACAGGAACAGAGGCAGACCCCACCAGGGGGTAAAATTAAATCACATCCCCAACCACAGCCACTTATACATGAAAACCCATCTCCTGGGACAATAATTATATTTCAGAGAAGCAAATCACAGATTTCTACAACACAAGAAAATGTACCTGAGTGTGTATATTTATATAAATATATATAGAGACAAACTAGCATCTGTCTCTATAAATAGCTATATTTATATAATTAGGTAGGTATGTACAATATATTTGCCAGCACTATAAGGGGAAAGGGTTTTTTAACATTCTCAGTCACAACAACAATTTCAGAAGGAAAAGCCAACGCACAACAGTTGGGAACAGCCCCAATTTTGTTGAAGGCCGGACTTAAAAAAAAAAAAAACAACCCTGCGCTCGTGTTCCTGTGGTCACTCCCTTTTCCAGTGGTTTTCCAAGACAAGTGTGGTTTCAGAGACAGACTTTAGCTACATGTGTGTACATGTACTTCCCTTAAGAGCAAAGAGGAGAGGAGAGAAGGGTGTTTCCTGATTTTTCCATCATAGAACAGTCAAGACTGCCTTCAGAAAAGAATCTGGGATTCAGATGAGTAGATTGGTGTTAAGGGTAACTCCATTGACAAATACAGCTAACATTCCCAGGGATAGGAAAACATGACACCAAATAGGCCATGTACCCGGAGTCCATCAAAATCCCCCCACAGCACATTACAATCAATTAAGGGACAAATAAAATCTAAGTAATACTAAGAGGTAGCAACAGTTTGTTGTCTCAGCAATTCTAAAGGTCTCTGGAAGCAGGACCAGGCAGTAATGTTTCCCCAGGAAAGGCTGGAATACAGGAGGGGAGGTGGAGGGCAAGGAACCATTGGATCGTGGCAATGGCCCTCCACCCCCTCCATCCCTGTGCTGGTCCCAGAAGTGTATTGATGACCATCTGCAGGGAGAGCCCAGTTCTGAAAGCCAGGGACTGCCTCCGCAATCCTCACAAGCCGCTACAAAAATTCACAAGTTGTTAATTAAGTAAGCTATGCAGTTTCCACAATATATAAATTAAGGTAAGTGTCTGTGTTTCCATATAATTTCTAAAATGGAGACTAATTGAATATTAGTGAAGTAACAACAACAATAAGAATAATTATGAATAAGAATGATAATGCCTGGGAGTTGGACATCTTGGGAGAGGGGTTCCTTCATATTGTGATGGGGTTGGGGGGTTCTTTAGTGTGAGGGTAGGGGCGGGATGCTCTATGTCTGATAGAAGTGGTGGTAATGGTGGTGATGTTCGTGGTGATGGTGGTGTTCATGTCTCTGGACCATTTGCCCCGCCTGGCCCTCATATAATACGACTGCGGGCAGGTCTCGAACATGTTCCTTCTCCACCACTGTGCTCCCAGGGGGCTGGAGGCTTTTGCACATCTGCTGACTTTCCTTGGCTCTCTGCTTGTGTTTCTTGTGCATTGGTGGGGCTGGGCCAAGGAGGTAGGGTGGGACAGGGCGGGTCGTTGGGGAAGCCAAGGGGATGGCAGGTCCCAGGATCGATTTGCTTCTTGCTCCCCTCCCCAGGTGGGCCGACCCCATATTTTTGCTCTGGGCTTTGGGGGACTTTACAAAGTGCTTGCTCAGATCCTGACCACCCCGGAGGCGTTGCTGGACTTCAGCGATCTTGGCATATGGAATGTCCATGAAGTGAAAGGGGCCAGGTTCTGCCCCCTGGGACTTCCTGTGGTGCACATGAATGGTTTCAGGTTCGTGGGAGCGAGATCTAGTCTGGATGGGGACTCTTGTGGACAGTTCAGGCTTCTGTGAAGGAGAGCCTAGAAAACAACAAGCAAAGTCAGCTCCTCTGATATCTCTGAGCACAAATTCACAGCCCTGGATGGGAACAGAGTTCACAGAAAGAGAATTTTATCATTTCTTCAACACTCCCCAAACCCTGGAACAACACTAGAGCTAGAAGACCCTGCCTTATCATTGAGCACAAGGCTGTTTTTCTCCCACCCCAATTGTCCTTTTTGGACTATCAGACTCGAACTGATGACTTCTCTAGTACTTATGCTAACTTTCCCACAGCCACTCTCTTTCTCATTCTTGAAGTCAACTTCCATGCTCCCTAGGTGCCTACCAACTCCCAAAAATACAGGTAGCATTAATATCCAGGAAGTAGGATGCCCTGCAAACCACTCTTCCTGCCTTATTGAGTACTGTTTCCTCTGTATACTCTAGGCTACAGCCAAACTGGATAATTCTCTGCTTTCTGAGCATGCTCTACCTTCTAACACAGCCTTGGCTTACATAGCCTCCTAAGCCTAGAATGCCTTTTCTTACCCACCCACCCCACCTACTTCTTGATCAACCACATTCTTATCCATCTTTTCAAGCTCAACTCAAATGCTACTTTCTCCCTCAAGCCTCCTTTGATTTCCCTAGTCAGTAATAAACTTCCCCTGGGACCTCCCTTGGTCAGTAACTTTTAGAATATGCTTGTCATGTGATGTTGAGAGTGATAATTCTCTATTTCTGCGTCTTATCACTGTACTAAATTCTGTGCTCCATGAAGGCAGGACCTCATCCTATCCGAACTTTGCATTTCCCCTCTTACCTAGTACAATGCCCTATACACAGTAGGCATGAGATAAATGCTTGTTGGATCCATTAAGAACTGGCAGGTTTTAAATGATACCAGAAGCCAACACAAGGGACTCAGAAGGTCGACTCCTTCAACTAACCCAGGGAAGCTCATTTAGATGCACTCATTAAGCAGTGATCAAGCTTGCCCCACCCTCAGGGGATTCCTTTACCTGGTCCAAACTTAGATGTGTAGTTTTCTATCCCTGCGAGATCTAAATAGTGGTTTCTTCTTTCGATGTTCTCATCAACACAATGGTGATAACGCCCAGATTGCTCCAAGTGGGCATCTCCATGGTACCTGGAAGGGAACAGAGAGGCATTTGAGCAACTATACAAATAGGTGCGTAGGGGAGGTGGAGGGGTTTACAGGAAATAGCAAGTGGGGTGCAATGGAAAGAACCCAGGGCTGAGAGTCAGGATATCTGCACTGTAGCCCTGGCATGGTCACCCTTAAGCTGCGCAACTTTAGGGACGTTACTTCATCTATCTGGGCATCAGTTTCCTTATCTGTGAAATGGGGTTAACGGCACCTCCTCTGCCTCCCTCATAGGGTCATTGTGAGGATTAATAGTGCCCAGAGATGTACCAAAGAGGGATTCAATTCCTTGAAGTGAAGCTTCAAAAGCGTGCATCCTAACCTCAGTGGCAGCAGCTGGGCCAGCCTGAGGGCAGGCATCAGGGTGATCAAGGCAGGAAGACTGGCAAGTTTTATCTACAGTGTACATAGATTCCTCTGTCTCACCCTTGAGGTCCTCCACAATCTGGCTCCACTCTATCCAACATTATTTTGGAGGAATTAGAGTAGAAAGGAACTTAGAGATTATCTGCTGAACCACTTCATTTTACAGATGAGGAAACCAAGGCCAAAAGAGATAAATTGACTTGTTCAAGATGTTGCAAGTTACTAAGTAACAGAACCAGTATTTGAACCCAAGCCCTCTGATTCCAAATCGTGTATTTTTCCCACTACAGTACACCATCTCAATCCTCCTCCTTAACCAACTCTCCAATTTAGTCAGACCAGGCTTCTTGTTGTTCTCCAGAAATAATATTCACATTCCCAGCCCCATACCTTTGCTCAAGCTATCTGACTGGATCCCTAATTCCCAGAATTCTCTCTCCCCATTCAAATCCCATTTCATCCTTCAAGGCCCTGATTGTCCTGCTTCCTCCCTCATCAGGCCAGCCCACATCTATCTCTTCCTTCTCAACTCCTACAGTACATGCAGTCACGATTACCCAACATGGCATCTGCATAAAACTCTTTGTCTAATGCATAGTAAGAGACCAATAAGCAATTGCACAATGCTGACTTTACCTTCCTGAGTCTCAGTTCCCTTATTAAAAAAAAAAGAGAATTATACTGAATGGTCCCTCCTTCTAGCTCCAGATGATCCCCTATCTCACATATTTTGTTTCCATAACTAGACTGTACACCCCTGAAGTACTTCAATCAATTTTCTTCCTTTTCTAGCTTCCTCCCAGAAGTAGGCATTCTCCAAATTCTTGCTGAGCAGCTGAAGCCTTGGGGGGCCCTCCCCCATGAGGTCCTCTCAAAAGAGCAGCCTCAGTCTTTGCCAGTCCCCAATGAGGGTTTTCCCTACCTGAGGGGAGCACGTTGCTTCTTCTCCAAGTTCCTCAGCTCTTCATTGGCCTTGCTCTCTGTTCTGCGCCTCAAACTCGGTAGGTCTGTCACCCATATCCAGGGAAGCACAGAAAACATTCTTCAATGAGTGTCTTATTTTCATCTGATTTCATTTGATATCATAGCACTGTGTCCTCCATTTCTGCCCTCATTGTACTTTGTTTTGTGTTATATTTATCTGTTTGTATATGTCTGATCATTCTCTCGTAGATCTAAGTTCCTCAAGGGCAGGGGAACATGTCATACTTGGCTTTGTATTTCTCCCAGTACTGTTTTGTGATCTGCAAACATTTCTTAAGTGTTTCTGAAATCCAAAGTCAGCCATCTATGCTTTGGGCCAGGCTTTGCCACCAAGAGGCATTTTTTTAAAAAAAGGTATTTGTGAATCACAACTCCCCAGGAATAAGGCTATGGAAAACTAATAGGATAGTAGCTTAGGGCCCAGGGTAAAGTTGGTATGGTAAAAAGGACTCTGGGAAGCTCTCATCCAACATGATCTAAATACAAAACAACTATTGATACTCTTACCCCCCCTTATTGATTCCTCCTCCTACTTCTTGACTCTCCAGCCCAATATTGTATAATCTGGTCCCAGAATTTATACCTTCTCTCCTTCCTGAGATAGATCTCATATTTTATCCGGGATCAAAATGTCATATTCCTTCCTGCTTTGTTTTTGTCATTATGAAATGAAAGTCTTCCCTTTTCCTACTTCATTGATACAAATTCTTCAAGGCCCAGCTCAAGTCTGACCCCCCCAGGAAGCCTTTGCCACTTAAACCTGAGAGTCAAGAATGTCTTTTCCTTTCTCATATGGCAACTGATTTCTGCAGTTCCTCTATGAAGAGATTCACCTGACATCCCCCCCACTCCAACTCTCTCTGCAGGGGTGAGTCTATCAAAAAGAAAGGGGGGGAGTGTAAATTATTTGTACTCTTGTTCTCTCCCCTTCCACAGCTTACTACTGATTTGCCCTGAACAATTCTTACCGGTGTGATTGAGCAAAATACTTTTCCTCTTTTGACTCCCATCTGGGGCCACTGTGAGTTTCACCCGAAGAGTTTTGCTGGATGTAGGGGAATGGTTGACTGAGGAATCGACTACCTCATAGATAGTGTGGAGCAAGCTAGTAATATCCTGGATGGGAAATTCAAGAAAAATTCCACACTGGATTTTAACCAAAAATTCTCATATATACAAAGAAAGAGAAGAAAGTAAGAGGCAAAATTAATAGACTGGTACTAATTAAGCTAAGTAGCTTAGTGGATAGAGTGCTAGGCTTGGAGTCAGAAAGACTAATCTTCATGAGTTCAAATCTGGCCTCAGATACTTACTAGCTATGTGACCTTCGGCAAGTCACTTAACCTTGTTTGCCTCTAGTTTCCTCATCTGTAAAATGAGCTGGAGAAAAAAAAAGTACATTTGCCTAGAAAACCTCAATAAGTCACAAAGAGTCCAACATGACTGAAAAATAATTGAACAACAACAATTAATCGATAAAAATATCACCAGAGGACCTGTGTTCAAATCCTGCCTTTGATGCTTCCTAGCTATGTACTTTGGGCAAGTCATTTCTCTTTCCTGGCTTCTTCATCTGGAAAATATAGAAGCTGGACTAGCATGCCAGTGATATTCCTTCTCCAGTTACAGATCTATGATTGTGTGACTGATGGTCAGGTTCTAAAAACTATCTCCCAAGTTACTGCCAAGCACTGTGGGGACATCTAATAACAAAGTGGTAAGCCTCTTTCCTGCCTCCTCCTACTCCCACCATCCCTTCACTTCAGAGCCAGGGTTAGTTCATTTCTATCCCACCTGTTCCTAGGTTACTGAGGCTGGACCAGTGACCCAGCTGCCCTAGAATGCTCGCATTCTCGGGGATGTTCATGAGAGATAAGCCTGCACTGGGATGGGCTACTTCTCTTCCCTAAAATTAGCCCTGCCAGTAAACTTGGCAAGACAAGATTTGGGAGCCTGACTGGGCAACAAATGTTCCTCTTGCAGAAATGAATGGAAGATCTCAGCTCAAGGGAAAAGAAAGAGAAGAGGCCATTTAGAGCTGAACAACATCAACGCATTTCTATAGCTATCTTGCCATTCCTGTGCTTTGGTCCACCCTGTTCCTCATGCCTGGAATGCACTCTCCCTGCCCCTACATTTATACCTCTTCATAGAATCTCACAGTTGATAAGTACCTTAGGGACTAGTTAATCCAACCTGTGTCTTCTGAAAAGATGTTGTTAAGTCATTTTTCAATCATGTCTGACTCTTCATGACCCCTTTGGGGTTTTCTTGGCAAAGATACCGGAGTGGCTTGCCATTTCCTTCTCCAGTTCATTTTTCATATGAGGAAACTGAGGCAAACAGGGTTAAGTGATTTGCAGGGTCACACGGCTAGTAAGTAAGAAAGGATCCAAAAGTATATCCCCTACAATATACCCAACAGCTGTTTATCTATCCTTTGCCTAAAGACCTCAGGTGAGGGGGGAGCCCGCCATCCCTGAAGGCAGTGTAGTCCACTTTAAGACAGCTCTAATGCTTGGGAATTTTTCCTTTACATGAGACCTAATTTGTCTCTAACTTCTGCCCATTGTGTCTAATTCTGTCTTCCAGAGCCAAACAAAATAAATTTGAATCCTCTTATAGAAGACAGCCCTTTAAATACTTGTAGACAAATATCATGTCCCACAGCAATCCTCACTTGCATGAATTTATGGTACTTTACCGTCCTGGCTACCCTCTTGTGGACACACTCCTGATTATCGATATCTTTTCTCAACAGGATGCCCTAAAATAGAGGTACCTCTTCCTTCTTATTTTTTTCTTAAAAAGTCTTAATAGTTTTGTTTGTTTGTTTTTTGGTGAAACAATCAGGGTTAAGTGACTTGCCCAGGGTCACACAGCTCATAAGTGTCATGTGTCTGAGACTGGATTTGAACTCACGTCCTCCTGATTCCAAGGCCAGGGCTCTATCCACAGTGCCACCTAGCTGCCCCTTCCTCTTCTTTCAAAACCCAGGTGTTCCCACCTTCATGAAGCTTTCCTGACTCCATCCAAATCAAAGGGATTTCTTTCTCCTAAAATTTCTCCTTAGTGCTATAGTTGTTTAAATAAATATGTTTCTTTCCCTCTCCCATTAGACTCTAAATGTACATCTTTGTACTCCTAGGGCCCCAGACAAAAGCCCTGCACATATTAGGTGTTTATTAATGTTTATTGAATTTAATTTCCCTAAAAAAACCATCCCTTGTGTTTTAGTATACAATTACTAAATTTTCAAAGTGTTTTCACATCTTGTATTATTTATTCCATATTTGTTACAAATTCAAGATTATAAAATATGTTAATAAAGTACATGCAATTCTTTTCTCACCATCAAATGAACAAAAATTGTCTACTTCTTCATTTCAGATCAAATTCTTTAATTAAATATAACATTACACTCACTTTTTCCTTGTCTCTCACTTCCCCTTTTCCCTAATGTGACTTTGCCCTTCCAGCCTGTTCTTCTCCTCTCTGTCCTTTTTATATATTTCAGCATTTCTCTCTTTCCTTCTTACCCTTTTTTTAAAACAAGTTTCCATAAATTTTTCTTTGAGATCAAAGCTTGCTTACTCTCTTTCCCACAATCTTGGGGGAAAACTCAAATACTCCTGTGAAGTAGGTATTATTACTTGATTTTACAGATGAGGAAAATTAGATACAATTAAGTAACTTTCCCAAGGTTATACAGCATAGAATTAGATTAAATTAGAACCTAGACCCCAGACAACTTGTCTTGGGCCTTTGTCATGAGAGGAGGCCACTGCTCATGAAAAGATCAGTAGATCTGAAGTCTGATGACCTGTGTTCAAATGAAGGAGCACCCTATTTACTACCTGTGTGATCTTAAGCAAGTCACTTTCCCCTTTTTTAAAAACCCATTTTCCTTATCTATAAAATGAGGTGGTTGGATCTAGAGTTAGAATCCCTGGTTTCAAATTCCTCCTCTAACACTACCTGTACAACCTTGAACAAGTCAACTAATTCTCTGGGCCTCAGTTTCCTCATCTGTAAAATGAAGGGGTTGGACTAGAAGGCCTCTGCAGTCCCCTTGAAGATCGAGATTCTATGTTCACTACTTTGTTGGTGGGGAGAACTATTAAAGGCACATTTTGTACTACTGCACTACTGAACCAAGTGCTTTTTATATTTTACACATAATAAGCCAATATAAAATTGTGCATACCCTTTGATCTAGCAATACCATTACTAGTTCTGTACCTAAAGATATTTAAAAAAAAGAAAAAAGGAAAATGACTGACATGTACGAAAAATATTCATAGCAGCTGTTTTTGTGGCAGCAAAGCATTTGAAATTGAGGGAATGCCTATCAACTGGGGAATGGCTGAACAAGTTATGGTATATGATTATATTGGAATACTATCGTGCTATAAGAAATGACAAGCAGGATGATTTCTGAAAAACCTGGAAAGTCTTATATGAACTGATGCTAAGTGAAGTGAGCAAAACCAGAAGAACATTGTACACAATAATGACAACATTGTACAATGATCAATGGGAATGACTTAGCTATTCTCAGCAATACAATGATTTAGGACAATTATGAAGGACTCATGATGAAAAATGCGATCTATCTCCAGAGAAAAAACTGATGGTGTCTGAATGCAGATCCAAACATACCATTTTTCACTTTATTTTTTCTTGGCCTGTGCCTTCTTTCACAACATGGCTAACATGGAAATATGTTTTGCATGATTGCACATGTATAAACTATATCAAACTGCTTACCATCTCAGGGAGGGAAGAGAAAAGGGAGGGAAGGAGAGAATTTGAAACTCAAAATTTTAGAAAATGAATGTTAAAAATTGTTTTACATGAAATTGGAGGAAAAGTAAAATATTATTACAAGAAAAAAATAATAAACCCAGTGGAATATTTGGTATTATTTATACCAGGGGTGGGCGAACTATGGCCTGCAACCCAAAAGCTACCATTCTTAGCTTGCAGGCTCCCAAATTTGATAGTTTGCTGTCCCTGTCCCCTACTCTATACTTTTCTATCAGTTGAATGATTAAAAAGATGTGATCTCCTGTGGAATATTCATTTGCAAAAGTCTGCCAATTCCTTTATGAAATTCATTGAAGATGGTCTTAATGTATACGGGCAGATTAGAGATGTCAAACACAGCCTAATCTTGCCCAAGATTTTACCCAAACCACATTAAAATGCAATTAGGAAATATTTACCAAAATAAATAAAAATACAATAGAACAAAATAATATTAATTTGTGATTTTCTAAGTCAATATGTGATCTACATGTATCTTTATGTATAGTTTAGTGATCCCTCTTTCTACTTGAGTTTGAAATCACTGGTGTAGATTATTCTCATTAAAAAAAATTATATAGATAAAAAAATTGATTTTATGTTTGCTCAGGCACTATTTATCAGAAGTTGAGTGAGAGGTACAAATTCAGTAATCCCAATTAAAGAATCAAGTCCACATGATGGACCAAGAGAAACTCTTCTAACTTGGAGAGGCAGCCCTGACCAGAAGCCTTGATCTGAAATTTGACTGAAGCAGAAAAGTGTGAGCCCTTCTCTTCCCACACAGAGGAATGTGTGTGGGGACAGCCAAAAAGCATAGAGGGAAACTGTATATTTATAACCAGATTTGAGGAGTGGATTTAGGACTAAAAATAGATGAAGGGAAACGCCAGCCCCAGTTCTCCCCTGACACTAATCCTCCACCCTCCTTCTCTTCAGTAGAAAAAGGAAACCATCTTTCTCCAAGTCTACTCTGAAGGATGCTCCTTTTTTTTTTTAACCCTTTCTTTTTTCTTATTTTTTTTAAAATCACCTAGGATATGTTTTAAGAGCTTATAGTTAGAACCAGAAAGCAACATCAGCTGGTAGGTTTCCCTAGGGTCTGCTCAGAAAAAGAATAAAAAGAAAAATCTTCAGTGCTGAAATGTTGAAAAGTGGGACTCTTCATGTTCTAAACCAGCAACAGGGAGAAAGATGGAGAAGAGAACAGCAGTCTTGGAGACAAAATGGACAGTGGGGGGACAGAATGCTCTCCAAGAAGCAGGGTCACTTTCTAAACCTTTGGCATAAATACTCAAGACACATCAGCTCAATTATCTGGAATTTCAAGTCCAATGGCAAACCTCCCTGTGAAGATAATTATGGCACAGTTGTCAGTTCTCAAAACAGGCTGTCAGAGAAAGCGGGTCCCTCTTTCTGTGAAATAATAATCCTTTATATTAGTAGTGTTTTATATTTTCAAAGTGTATATACATCTATCATCCCTTCAGATTCTCATGACAACCCTCTGCATAAGGCAGACAGGCCAAGGACTATCATTCCTATTTTAAAAAAAGGAAACAGAGTCACTGAGAGGTTAAGTGACATGTCAAGGTCATTTATTACAGGATCTGTGACTTCATTGGTGCGGGAACTCTCCTTCCATCAGTGCAGGTCAAAACTCCTTTATGACTTAGTAGATAACCTTCATGAGAAGGAAACTTTTCTTCTTGTCTTAGTAGACAGACTTCATAAGTTGCTGTCAATGAATAAATTCATCACCCTGTGGTCAACATGGTAATGACCTTCTCTGAACCTAGCTAAGAATGCACTTGGATGAATATTCTAATAATCCAATGGATCTAGGATCTCATCAGGTACCACTTCCAGCAATGAAGATTGCAATTGCATCTGTGTCTGCTCATGGGGTTCACATCACTAATAAATGGTGAAACTGAAAGTAGAATCAGGTCTTTCTGCTTCCTAATTTAATCACTTTTTTTTAGTGAACTATTCTCTCTTCTCCATTAAACTGTGAGCTCCTTAAGATCAGGAACTGGTTTTTGCCCTTCTCAGTATCCCTAGCACAGTGCACGTAGTAGGCACTTGAAAAATGCTGGTTGATTGGTTATTTTAAGCATGAACCATTTACTTAGGTGGGTAAAACTAAGGAAAATAGCAGGAATATAAAGGTGTTTTAGAGATGCTGAGTACTTTGTTTCAGAACAAATTAGCCCCCATCCTCCAAAGTGCCATGGCAAACGGTTAGCTGTTGAGTGGTGAAAGGTCAATCAATAAATCAAAATGGACTCAAAGAGGAACCAATATTAAAGTTGGATGGCATTCTGAATGACTTTGAGGATCTCAATTATTCAATCAATATGAGTTCCCAAGGTTACAAAACAAATTACTGTTTGGGCCTGCACTCAAATCCAAGTCTACTGAGTCCTAAGCCTGGACTTACTCATCTCACTAAACTATGGAGCTTTCCTAAGAGGATGTGGCTATTACACATCTATAAATATAGTCAAATTAAACACTTGGTGACCCACAAAGCCTCAAGTTGTGCATATATAGTTGTCCATATATAGCTATGTGTGTGTTTGTGTATATATAAATGGATACAGAGACCATATGGTCTTTGTGGTGTTTCAGGGGAAGCTCTCAGGGTTGAGAAGAGACCAGCCTATACTCAGAACAGCTCACTAGTTCTTCCTGGAGAAGGGCCCAGGGCTTCCCCTTTAAGGCACTCCCATGATTTGAGTGCTTGGATTCTAGCTATCATTCAACCATCTCTAAAGGACAAAGCTGAGAGCATACATGGAAAGAGTACTGGATTTGGAGTCAGAAGAGTAGAGTTCAGATACTAGCTTTGCCTATGTTACCTGGGCAAATCACATAAGCTCTGTGGAGCTCAATTTCCCCCTCTGAAAATTGAAGGGATTGGACTAGATGAACTGTAAGGTCCCTTCTAGCTCCAAATCTTATGATCTTTTAGGGAAAAGGTTTGAAGTCATGGTAGGTCCTCTATATCCAGGCACATTAGGGGTGAAAACAGAAAGCCACCCAGAAATTCAAACATGATCATCACTACTTGACTCTAATTAATACCATCCATAATACTAGTATAATGGTAAAGGTTCTGGACTTAAATCAGGAGACCACTGTTCCATGCATGCATGTGTCCCTTACTAGCTACATGGATGAGTCATAGAACTTCTCTTAGCTTTAGTTTTCCTCAATTTGATAAAGAATTACTGACCATTCACAATGAATTGCATTCATCCAAACATGGGGAGGATTCTTGAGTTCTCCAGAGCAATGGTGTCAAACTCAAATAAAAATAGAGGGAGCATTAATCTCTATGTAAGGATCTTTCTGGGTTTCATATTAACCTGGCCTTAAAATGTCATATTCTCTGTTTTGTTGTCTTTTTATTTATTTTTTAAAATATTTCCCAATTGCATTTTAATCTATTTCAGGCTGCACATGAGTGTTGGGGACCACATGCGGACTATAGGCTGCATGTTTGATAACTCTGTTCAAGAACACCAAGGCTGGGTGCTAATTGTAGTTAAATTGGGGGGGGCGGTTATTGCCAGAAAGTTGGCTGCCAAGTGACAAACGTTTTTGGGCACAACTCATAAAAATTGTCTACTCAGGTACAGAAAGAACTGCCATATGCGTTAATGCAATATGAATTTGCAGTTGGTGTAGATCCCTAAAATATTAAAGAAGCTAGGACTAACAGTCTTAACCCTTGGGTAGTCTAGAAAGGTCACTGCTTCCAGGCCTTCCTAAGGTTCCAATAGAGCCCCTTTCTCACATATACCAAACCCTATTCCTGTCAAGAGAATTGGAAATTCAGAGTGGGAGTTCTGGGAGCAGACAGACAAGCTATAGGAAAGACTGGCTCCACGGAAAGCATTGCTTTGATTCACAGAGGTGATATGGAAGATCTAGGGGAAGACAGAGCATGATGTCCCTTCTTACCTCTCGAGTGACTTTGCCGTTATTATCAAAGTCATATAGTGTGAAGGTCCATTCTTGCCGGTTATCTTCCTCTACGGAAACATCACACTGTAATTCCTGAAAGAAAGACAGAAAGTGGTTCCACAGACCTGTGGCATGTGAGGCTCCAAGGATAGAAGCTGGGATGGTGGGGGCATCACCACTTTTCCCTTGATTAGAACTTTGCCCATCATTTCTGCTACAATGAAACCTTTGGTTTCAACTTGCAAAAAGTTATTTTTAAAAGAGAAAAACAGGAAAAAAAATTGGAGACATTTAACCAGAAACTGGGGATGATCAGTCTGGGTAATATTAATAATAATAATAACTTATATTTATATAGTGCTTTGAAGTTTACAAAGCACTTTGCATACCTCAAGGAGAGGTAGCAGAACACAACAGCTACAGGCAACTAGCCTGAGAACCAAGAAAACCTGGGTTTACTCATCACGCTTCTGACACATATTGACTGGGTCACCTTGGGCATGCTACTTACTCTCTTGGGGCTGTAGGCAATTCATTAAGACTATAAATTACAGAGAAAATGCTGACCTACCTGCATTAGTAAGGAAGTGTTTCCTCTCTCAGAACTCTATATAGCAATATAATTACAAGTCTAATCCCTATTCCTACTCTTTAAAATACCTTATCTCACTTAATCCTCACAATACTGTGAGGTAGATGCTGTTATTAGCCCCATTTTACAGAGAGGAAGCTGGAATCAGAGAGGTTCAATGATTTGCCAAGGTGACCTAACTATTAAATGTCTGAGGTGGGATTTGAACATAGATCTTCTTGAAAGCAAGGCCCATGAGATAATAGGAGGCTGGGGGCAGGGAGGTAGTTGTGTAGGAGAGGGGCATAGGATGATATGGATGATATCCCAAAAGTCTTAGTGCTCTGCGACACTTTTGAAACACTCTGTATTTAGAGATCATCCATCATTTTATAAATTAGGAAACTGATCTGTATCTTCAAGTATCTGAGAAGCTACCATGTGGAAAAAGGATCTAACTTATCCTGTGTGGCACTGAGGCAAAACAAAGACCAGTGGGCTGAAGTTTCAGAGAGGAAGGTTTGGGCTCAATATGTAGAATGACAATGGAGGCAGTCTAACAATGGGATGGCTATCTTGTCTTAGAGTGAGTTCCCCATTACTAGATGTTTCATGTAGCAGTTGGATCCTGCTAGGGATTTGTAGGAGATCCCTTACTAGGTGGGATGTTAGACCAGATGACCACAGAGGTCATTCATATCATATAAAAATTTTAAAAAAGCAAAACAAAAAAAGCTCTTAAGTTTCCTACTGTCCTAAAATCTCCATGAGGACAAGACCACGCCTTATTCAGTTTTGTATCTTCATGATACCTAATGCACAGGTTTGTTGAATGAATGAGTGAAAACATGAATGAATGGCTATAGTTACATGAATGGAAACCACTCTATGTCTGTCTCCTTCTTCCCACTGGCTTCCCTCCTCCACCCCAAATGAAACCCCAAACCTTTGTCACCCCAGCTCTCTTCATGCAGAGTCAACAGGCAAAACTCCCCAACAGAGGGTAAAATAAACAGCTTCAAACAGGTTCTGAGAGAATGTGCAAGAGAAAGCAGATTCTCGAATACCTGGCTTTTCCTGCTGACTTGAAACCAATTCCCTACAGCAGTTAGCGGTGCCCCCCAACCCATGCTGAGTTCAAAGGCAGCGTTCCCTCAGTTGTAACAAGCCCATCTGATAACTGCCAAGTGTCCCAGCTCTTTCCCAGATGCATCGTTTCATGTTACACAACATGCTCTGTGCATACACACACCTCTAAGAGAGAACCCCGCCCATTCCGCCCTGCCACCCCCCCCGCCCCAAGCATACACTCTTGCCATTTGCTTCTTCCTTTATACCTCATCGTAAAGTGAATCCGTTTACCTGTTTTGCCAGCCCCTCTGAGCCTATGTGTTGAGGATGCTTTGATGTGAGGGAGCAGAAAGAAGGGGTATGAGAGCAGAATATCTACTTATCTGTGCTTGATTTCTCACCACACGTTAAGAGCCCGCGTGCCCCAGACAGCTGAATAAGCATTCCCTTTCCCAGTGACCATGTACTATGCCTGGAGAATAATATGGTAGCCTGCAGAGGCAGGCTGGCTAACTTTGGTGAGGGTTGCTGGCTGCTTCTTAACAATAGGCATAGTCCAATGAGCTCCAAGTAGACTGAGCCAAACAGAGAACAGGGAAAGGAAGAGATGGAGCATTTATATAGCACCTACTATGTGCCAGGCACTGTGCTACCTGCTTTACAAATATCATCTCATTTGATTAATCAGATGACACCCCTCCTCCCCATGTCCCAGTTAGCAGCAACTAAAATCCTTGTTCAATGTACAAGACTTGACTATTGATTGGGGGGTGAGGGGAGAGGCAATGAAAGAGACAGAGGAATGGCAAGTGTGTATGTTTGGGGCAGGGGGGGTGGCAGGGAGGAATGGGCGGGGTTCTCTCTCAGAGATGTGTGTATGCACAGAGCATGTTGTGTAACATGAAACGATGCATCTGGGAACAGAGCTGGGACACTTGGCAGTTATCAGAGGGGCTTGTTACAACTGAGGGAAAGCTGCCTTTGAACTCAGCATGGGATGGGGGGCACCGCTAACAGATGTAGAAGATACCGGAAGATTTAGAAGGCACCTCTAGCTCCATTATTCTTAGCACTCACCCAAACCAGGACTCAGGGCTCAAGGAGCACCATGGTGCAGTAAAGAGTGTGCTAGATTTGGAGTCAGAGAGTTCAAATCTTGGCTCTGTCCCTTACTACCTCTGGGAACTTGGGCAAGTCACTTAATTGCTTAGTTTCCTCAAATGCAAAATGAGAATGTTAGACCAAATGACCTTGAAGGTTCCTTATATCTCTATAGCTATGAAGCTGTCACCTGAACAGCCATTAAAAAACTAAAGTGTGGTCATTTCCTCTGGCATCCAGGGGAGATAAAACACCAAGAATCCTACTTCCAATTACCCTCCATTAAGTCTCATATCATCCACAAGATCAAAGGAAATTAGGTAGTACTTATATCAGAGAGTCTTATATAGTACTTATATCAGAGAGTAAGAAGCAGGATTTGTATTAGTATCAAATTAACTGATGACAACGGAAAGGAAAAAGTGTTGATTTCTATGTTCTTTTTCTTGCTGGAGTCAACCTGCCAAGATGATAAAAACTCATCTCCACTTAAAATAAAATCAGTGTAATAATAAATAATTGATTTCCTTGAAAAGTCATGCTTTTCCCAAGAATAGTTTATTCTTATCTTTCATTATCTCATTTCAAAGAATCACAGAATTTCTAAACTGAAAGATATCTCAAAGATCATGAAATTCCATCTCTTCCTTTCCCAACGAGAACAAACTGAGACTTGAAGAGGCTCGGAGATTTGCCCACTGTAACAGAGCAGCACCGCCAAGGTTGGACCCCAGCCCTCAGACTCCAAATCCAGCACTCTTTCCATGGCACCACATGAATATGAAGTTTTTCTGATTTATTATGGGCAAAACACCTGATCACCCTGTGACCACCTTCATAAAGAGTTTGTCCAAACCCAGCCAGGCTGCTCCTTAGATACAGAGAGTTCCCCACTGGGCCCAGACAAGAAACCTTTCCAACTGAACAGAACTTGCCAGAGCTTACTTGGCTGTCAAAGCCCTTGACAAGCTAAGGTTATTTCTATACTATGATGAGGCATTGGAAAGTAGCTATGGACACCCCATGTTTGCAGAAGAGGAAACTGAGAACCAAAGAGATTACTTGCCTATGGTCTCACAATGAGCCAGTAGGACAATCAAGGTTAGAACCCAGACCTATTGACCTCTTATGCTATCTTTTGCTCCCTACACCACACAAATAGGTACCTCTATGTTCTGCTGGTCATTAAGGGGTTTGCATTTTTCTTTAGAGGCACCAGGAAGCTACTGAAGGTTCTTGAAAAAGGGAGTGACATCATCAGACCTGTGCTTTGGGAAGATGAATTTGGCAGCAGTGCAGACTATGGACTAGAAAGGAGGGAGTCTGGGAGCAGGGAGACCAATTAGGAAACTAAAGAAAGAAATGTGGTAATGGCCTGAATCAAAGGAGTGGCCTCATATGTGGAGAAAAAGGGACAGATTAGAGAAATATGAAGACGAAATGGACACAACTTGGCAGCTGATTGGATATGAAGGATTGGGATGAAATGGAAGGAGGAGTAGAAGATTATTTCAAGGTTCAAATCCTGGATAACTAGAAGAATAGTGGCACCCTCAATAGAAATATAATTTGGAGGAGTTAGAAGGTAGAATTCTGTTTTAGACAAGTTGAGCTTGAGATGCCTAAGAGACGCAGAGGCGGAGCTGTCCAGCACACAGCTGGCCATATAGGATTGGAGTCCAGGAAAGGAATTTGGATTGTACATTGAAACCTAGGAGCCACCTGTATAAAGACAGTAAGAGTTAATGGGTCTCCCATCTTAAGCAAAGGATGGATAACCATTCGTGGATGGGTTGTAGAAAAGGATTCTCATTCAGGTATAGTTCGAACCAGATAAATTCTAAGGTCCTTTCCAATGCTATGATTTTGTGCCTTCTGCCTAATAGGGCCCCCTCTAGTATTTATCTAATTAGGAAACACCTTAGGCAAAAATTGGTGTCCAATGGCAGCTAGGGCCAAGAGTAAACAGTGTAAGAAGATAGATTTTTTTCATTTGGGGGGCTTAAACCACGTTAGAAAGCTCACACAAACTGATGAAAGGCCTCTAGTAACTTGGCAGAAGAGGGAGCTTTTAGGAGCCAATTTAAAGGGGTATTAGCACAGGTAACAGCCCTGGTTTCTCTAGTGGTTGGGATTGGCAAGAGTTCCCCTCTGTCTTTCTCTCTTTCTCTTTCTCTCTCTCTCTCTTTTTTTTTTTTTGCTTTTTGGTGAGGCAATTGGAGTTAAGTGACTTGCCCAGGGTCACACAGCTAGCAAGTGTCAAGTGTCTAAGGCCGGATTTGAACTCAGGTCCTCCTGACTCCAAGGCCAGAGCTCTAACCACTGTGCAACCTAGCTGTCCTAAGAGTTCCCCTCTTTCACAAGCATGTCAAAGTATGAATAAGGAGGTTTTTGGTTTTTGCTTCCCTCTACCCACCCACCCCCCACCCCCACCTAGGGGCCAGAGCTTAAGCCTCAGCCCAATACCCAGGGAAGAGGAAACTTACTTCAAATTTCAGCTGTTTCTTGGAGCTGGGGCAAGATTCACTGTCTTTCTCGGCCTTCTTTTCATCTCCACTCCCTGGCCCATCTGTCTTCTCCGGAGGCAAAGACACTGCAAATTGGTAAGAGAGAAAAGTTGACAAGGAGACTCTCAGAAGATTTGTGTGTACAGCAAAAACCATACACTGACTGATGACCAAGAGGAAAGTTGGATTCTGCAAATTCACGGTCCTTGACCAGCTAATCATGCCAAAGATATTGGCCACTGATTCCTGCCCAAGTGCTGGGATTTTCCTATCTCTAACTCTCATTTTACAGCAAATTCATAAGATCATAGTATTTTTAGATGTAAAGGGCCTTAAGATCAGTTAGTCCAACACTCTCATTTTACAAAGGAAACAGCCCAGCCTAGAAAAATGGAGTAACTAGTCTAAGGCTACATATACTCTGAGATCCAGTGACGCTGACCTCCTTGCAGTTCTTCAAACTAGATACTCCATCTTCCAACTCTGGGCATTTTCTTGGGCTGTCTCCCACGCCTGGAATGCTCTCCCTCCTCATCTTTGCCTTCCAGCTTCCCTGGCTTCCTTCAAGTCCCAGTCAAAATTATACCTTCTACAGGAAGCCTTTCCTGATCCCCCTTAATTCCAATGCCTTCCCTCTGTTAATTATTTCCAATTTTCCTATAAATAACTTGTTTGTACATAGTTACTTGAATCTTCTGTCCCCCACTTGATTGTAACTTCCTCAAGGGACTGTCTTTTACCTTTCTTTGTATCCCAGGGCTTATTACAATATCTTAATAATTGTTTATAGACTTATTGACAGTTAGTAAGCTGCAGAGTCAGGTCCATAGCTTTTTATATTATACCTTGAAGTGATTTCTCTGAGCTTCAGAGAGCTCACCTCTACCTTAGTGAAGATGAACTTACAAAAATGCCTCTGTCATTCCCATTTTGCTTAGAAAATTGATATCTCCCAGCATCCCACCCAAAGGATTTAGCTTTTAATAGACCATTTCCCTATGTTGTTCCCAACCACCCTCTGGCATTTCTTAATAGACTTGATTTGCAGTCACAAGAAAACCTAGGACAGGGATGGATTTCTTAAATATAGTAAAATTATTGTTGTTTGTCTTTCACTCTCAAAGAGGACAGATGACCTCAGGACAGTGATGTCTTAATTTGCAAGTGAATTGGATTTTAGTGAGGCAGGGCTGTGCAAAGTCATCAGCCTCACTCTCTCCTCCAATCATTTGAGTCCAGTGGCAAGACATAGGTCAGGACGACTGGGGATGGCCTCAGATACAGTGGGAGACCTTGGCCTTTTTAAGCTAAGGACTTTCCCAGGTCTCAGTTTGTCTGAGGCAACATCCATGCAGTAAAAGAGGGGACTCAAAGGAGGGAGGGAAGGGAGAGAGGGAGAGTAGTCTTCATAGCCCAGAGGCAACAGGAAATAGCCCACTTACAACTGCCTAGGGTCTGCAAAAAAGGACACTTTGCAAAATACACAGCCTCCTCATGCATCTATGTATAATTCATGTCCATGGGAGAGGGCAGGGACTCACAGAGTTCAACAGTGTTAGGGGAAAGTGTGGGCACATAAGAACACAGACACACACAACACACAATGCATGTCTTGAGTGAGCTGGAGTACTCCATGCCAGAAGAGCCCTGTCATTGATTCGCCCTTCACCCAGGGCACTTTCTGTCCTTTCTGCTAAAGACTACCCTTTTCCTCTGTGCATAGATAGTTCCTTTTAAGACCTAATGGGAAGAGGAGTGGGAGGGCCAGATGACCTCATATTGATGTCATTACATATGACCAGTCCAAATGAGGTCCCAGGAGGGCACCAAAGCTTTCTCCCACAATCACATGTCTCAGATGCCACACCACTCTTTTATCTGCTCTACTCCAAAATCACAGTGGCCACATAAGATTTTAGTTTCCAGCACATCTAAAATGTTACCCATTATAGCACACTGTGCCAAATATTTTTATTCCTGCTATCTGATTTTCCTTAATCTTTATACTTTCCCTTTCAGACCAGTCTTAGAATATTTATTTTCATGTTACCTCTCCTACTAGACTGTGAGCTCCCTGAAAGTAGAAACTATCTTTTGCCTTTCTTTGTATCCCCTAGCACTTAGCATAGTGCCTGGAACATGGTAGATAAGTGCTTATTATGATATAATATTATTTATGTGTTAATATGCAACATTGTAATAATAAAACTGACCATCTGTCTCATCTACAAGCAAGAATGCTACATTACATTTGAAAAATACTTAATGGTGTTTTGTTTTGTTTTGTTTTTTCAAAATGGTATCTCATTTCCTCCTCACAATCTCCACAAGACAGGCATCATTATCCCCATTTCACAGATAAGGAAATTGAGTACAGAGAAGTTGCAAGGGAACTGTCACACAATAAGTTAGCAGCCACACCAGCATTAAAACTCCAGTCTTCTGATCCCCAGTCCTAGACCCCACTACACCCTTCTGCCTCTCTTGATCAAGCTGACTCCTCCCATGGGGAGCAAACCTGAGGCACTAGAAAGAGTAATTTGGGTGATGGTGGTCGATAACAACTTTGAGAGTCAGCTAATATGTGGGGAAGACATCCCAGACCCTCAAGAAATGAGGCAGCTAGACAGAAGGAAATCAGGCAGTATTACTTTTGAATCAGTTCTACCTAACTATTACAAACAAGGCTGGATGTGGAAAGCTTCAGAACATTGAGCAATCAATAGTTCTATCTAAACTTCCCCAAGATTGGAAGGCAGGGGGTTACCACATCCATGAATGGGCACTGCTTCTGAGCTTGCAGATGGGTTCTTCAGCATGGAGTAACACAGGTGGAAAGGGACATGGTTAAAATCTACAAAATCACACCCAGAATGGAGAGAGTGAAGGCCAGCTTACTCACCAAGCCCAGAATCATTAGGAATAGGGAGAATTTTCTTGAGTTAGTTTTAGGGCAAGTAAAATTAAGCAGAGAGATGGCACAGATGTCAAGAGACAAAGAAGTTTAAGAATGATTTTGGTGAATCTGTGGATCATGGGAATATGAGGCTTAGAGCTGGCAGGGACATTAGAGATAAACTAACCAAACTCTTCATGTCTCAGATAAGGAAACTGAGGCTTCAGGAGGCTCAGTGTCTAAGTTCTATTAGTAAGCCACATGGGATTTATCATACCTGCCAAAGGTCATAAAGACATTACCCCTATCACATGGGTTACTAAGGGAAGTTCAGTGTATCTGGGGAACTAGACAGCATCAGACTGCCTAGATTAGCCACATATGCACAATTTTGTCATGATGATGGTGGTGGTAATAATGATGATTCATATCTAGATAGAGCTTTTAGGTTAAAAATTGCTTTCCTCACAATGACCCTGTGAGAAACAAAAAAGACACGGGCTCAGAAAGTAAAGTAAGTCTCAAGGTCACAAAGAGAGGAAGATAAAATAGGATTTTAGGCTTTGAAGGGATTTTACATATCAGCTAATCCTACTCCCTCATTTTATAGATTAGGAAATTGAAGCCTAGGAGGGGAAATAACCTGCCCAAGATCTCAACAAGTCAGGAGCCAAGCCTTCTGACCCTGATCAGTGCCCTCTCTTCCAGACCACTCTGCTCTCTTGGAAGTGCACTGGTATTTCTTCTATCCTGGTTTCCTGTCTCTAAGCCTAGTATTCTTTTCATTATGTACCTGGAGCATCCATAGAGACTGGGCCAAACTGGTACCCTACAGAGCTGCCCACAGTGACTAGCATATCCACCTGCTTTTTTTTTTTTGACAAAATAGAAAGTGATGCTGTCAACAAGCATTTATAAATGCTTGGTGTGCCAACCATTCATCAATGGTACTATGCAACAGGTGCTGTGTTAAGTACTAAAGATACAAAGAAAGGCCAACATAGCTCCTACCCTCAAGTTGCTCATGTTCTAATGGGAGCGACACTACACAAACAACTCTATACATGCAAGATACACACACACACACACACACACACACACACACACACAGAGAGAGAGAGAGAGAGAGAGAGACAGAGAGAGACAGAGAGACAGAGAGAGAGACAGAGACGGAGAGAGAGAAGTGGATTATCTCAGAGGAAAGGTGCTGTTTGTGCAATGGAAAGAATGATGTAAATTCCTTTCATGGATTCCCATACAAAGCAGAGACCACCTTCTGAAGCAGGTATCAAGATATTAGAGGCACTATATCATGCAAAGACATTGAACAAGTCATATCATGAGGATGTTAGAAAACACATAGACTACCCCATTAATAGACTGGATTAATAGACTGAAAACTTGGTTGTGATAGCCAGTCTAGCTATTGGACAAAGGATGGAAACAGATCCAGATAGCTGATGTTAGTGTTCCATGGATCTGAGCCCAAATCATAAGTGATGACATGTGAATGTGAAATGTGAGTGAATATGGAATGTCTGGAAAGGTGTGTTTAATTTTAGAGGTTGTGGGGAGAATAATACCTGTCTTCTGAACACTGGGCCTGGAATCAGGAAGACCTGAGTTCAAATTCACCCTCAGACACTTATTAGCATTGTGACCCAGAGCAAGTCACTTAACCTTTGTCTGTCATATTAGTTTCCTAATATGTAAAATGAGGATAATAATAACACCTACTTCCTAGGCTGTTATGAGGATAAAATGAGATAATATTTGTAAAATGGTAGTAGATACTTAATAAATCCTTCCTTCATTCTGTCCTTTTTGATGAAAAAAAAAACCCTACCACTTAATTGTCATTTTTTGCTTTAATCATCAAGATGTATTTAGGAAGAGTTTCTGGACATGGTGGGGGCTGGGGGTGCTATATAGGAAAAACTAGCATAGATGCTCTTCTTACCCTCTGGGAGTTTATAATCAATGACAGACAGTAACAGAGACAAATAAATAAAAGGGCCATAAATTAGAAAAATAAGAGCCATAGACCAATATAAGCGCACTAAAAGTATACCTGTATAAGTTACACAACAGCTATATTTCTAAAAAGTTACATGGAAATCAGATACCACTTAGGGCAAAATCTCCAGCCCTTAACATAATTTAATCTGCCTCACAAGAGAAGTATGAAGA